GTGTGTGTGTGTGTGTGTGTGTGTGTGTGTGTGTGTGTGTGTGTGTGTGTGTGTGTGGACACATTGTTGCTACATTGTGGGGACTGTTTTTAGAAAAACACAGCCATGTGAGGACCCGACATAGAATGGTGATTTTGGGTGGGGGTAGGTTTAGGACCAAGGTGTGAACTGCGTTTAGGCTTAGTTTGGGGTTAGCTATGTACCTCTGAGGTGAGGTTTAAAGTAAAGTTTGAGGGTTAGACTATAGAAATAATGGGAAAAGGAATGGAAGTTAATGCAAAGTCCCCATAAGGATATAACAACAATTGTGTGTGTGTGCTACTACACTCTGACCTTTGCTCTGTGGTGGATTCTGACTCCGGTCTCGAAGGATATTGATCTCATAAATTGCTCCATAAGGTTCAAAGAGCTCCCGAAGCTGCTCCTCAGACCAGGACCGAGGAATCTGTCCCACAAACATCTTGATGGCATCAATATCTGGTTGGTCAGGATGATCCAGAGACCCATTAAGCTTCTTCCCACTACAAAGATAAACACCACATAAGTGTGTTGGCGCTGAAGTAAACTGAACTTTAAAAAAGTTTGAAAATGTAAAAAATACTGTTATAATTGCTACATTATTAAAACAAATGAAAATGTAGAAGTTTAGATGTTTTCATAACCAACCCTTTTGCTGTGATCTCTTCTCACACACCTGCTGACTGATTTATATCGGAGCTGCAGGTACTTTTAATCAAATGCACTAAATGTCAACAGGTGATTATCACATTTGGGCACAGAGCAATCAAAGGACACCTTTAAAGGTACATATTGACCTGGAGATAGTCTGACTCTGAACTTGTTGGTCTGGGTATTTCAGAATTTGTTGACCTGCTGGGATTTTTACACCCAACCATCTCCAGAGTTAAAAGATAATGGTCAAAAAAGAGACCACTGGTGCTGAGGTCAGAGATCAAACTGGTTGCAGATGACAGAAAAGCAACAGRAGCTCATATAATGCCTGCGTGTATCCTGCTAAGGCAAGTATACAGAAATGTTCTGGCATCTTTACAACGATGTGAGTTGCTAAATTCCATCATCCCTAAAAACACAGAGACTATGAGCCTTTTCTCCATTAGATGGGCATATGATATCATATATAAATCATAGACTAGTGAAGTGAATTGAAATCATATCATGAAAGACTTTGTGATATCAAGAAACATTGCATCATCATCCAAACAAATCCATAGGTGGGCCTAACAAAGTAGGCAGTACAGAATCATTAAAAGTATTCAGAATACTAATTCATCCTCAGGATGAGAACATTTAATAATTCTGGTTACTTACACAGGACTAGAATTCAAAGAGCAATGGTCCACCATCATCTCTGGAAGGAAGTCCAGTTTAAACGAGGCCATAACAGCAGAACCTTTGTGTCTCTGGTTTCTGTGTTAAACCAGTAAAGCTGCAGTGATCCACAGATGACCTGTTAGAGACGGTAAACTCCAGGTTTGATGCTTAGTAGAAGTCCATAGTGACTAAAAGTTGGATGATGTGATGGTTGTGACAAAAAAATGTCTATTTCTAAACTTATAAGTTAAAATGTCTTTAGCAAGAGTTTCCTGGTCAAAGACACGCCCGTTCTCAGAACAGCACAAAGTACTCAACAAAAAAATATCCACCAAAAAATGAAGAGTAAAAACTCGGGCTTTAAGATCCAAACAAACAAACAAAAAACACAAACTGACTGACCCCCAGTCTGCCTTCAGGATCTGCGGGTCTGCCGCCAGGGTCTGGGACCAAACATGGAAAACATAAAACACAGGGACAAACGAGGACACAGCGACACATGTCCATTTGAACATTTGGGCCACCACAAATAAAGTGCTGAATGTCCAGGCCCTTTGTTTCCATTTTTCAAAGGCCAGCAGATTCAGGTCCACAGGCAGATAAACAGGGTGTCAGATCAATGGAGATAAGGCCCGTTGGGTCGAGGGAATGAAAGTGTGAGCAGTGCTGCTCCTCCTCCCTCACATAATCCTGTGACTCACCACTAACCAAACCATCCAGCAGCAAACCAGTCCAGCTTCAGGGACAACTGGCTTCCATGTGTTGTCCTCCACTTGCACAGATGTTCCTAAGATTCACAAACATCTGTAAGGTGTTACATCTGTCAGGTGTTACTTCTGTTAGGTGTTACTTCTGTCAAGTGTTACATCTGTTAGGTGTTACTTCTGTCAGGTGTTACTTCTGTCAGGTGTTACATCTGTTAGGTGTTACTTCTGTCAGGTGTTACATCTGTCAGGTGTTATTTCTGTCAGGTGTTACATCTGTTAGGTGTTACTTCTGTCAGGTGTTACTTCTGTCAAGTGTTACATCTGTTAGGTGTTACTTCTGTTAGGTGTTACTTCTGTCAGGTGTTACATCTGTTAGGTGTTACTTCTGTCAGGTGTTACATCTGTCAGGTGTTATTTCTGTCAGGTGTTACATCTGTTAGGTGTTACTTCTGTCAGGTGTTACATCTGTCTGGTGTTACTTCTGTCAGGTGTTACTTCTGTCAGGTGTTACATCTGTCTGGTGTTACTTCTGTCAGGTGTTACATCTGTCAGGTGTTACTTCTGTCAGGTGTTACATCTGTCAGGTGTTACTTCTGTTAGTTGTTACATCTGTCAGGTGTTACATCTGTTAGGCGTTACATCTGTCAGGTGTTACTTCTGTCAGGTGTTACTTCTGTTAGTTGTTACATCTGTCAGGTGTTACATCTGTTAGGTGTTACTTCTGTCAGGTGTTACTTCTGTCAGGTGTTACTTCTGTTAGTTGTTACATCTGTCAGGTGTTACTTCTGTCAGGTGTTACTTCTGTTAGTTGTTACATCTGTCAGGTGTTACATCTGTTAGGTGTTACTTCTGTCTGGTGTTACATCTGTCAGGTGTTACTTCTGTCAGGTGTTACTTCTGTTAGTTGTTACATCTGTCAGGTGTTACATCTGTTAGGTGTTACTTCTGTCTGGTGTTACATCTGTCAGGTGTTACTTCTGTCAGGTGTTACTTCTGTTAGTTGTTACATCTGTCAGGTGTTACATCTGTTAGGTGTTACTTCTGTCTGGTGTTACATCTGTCAGGTGTTACTTCTGTCAG